CCTAAATCTTATGATGTTAGAATATACATAATTAAATGAATTAACTCAGATTTTCTTCGATATTCAGTCATATTATGTGATCAGATTTCGTACCAGTGCTCCTTTATCTAGAGACGAGAAGTTTATCAATGTTATTTAATGTTATCTCGAACAAAATATAATAACAAGTTTTGAGGAACAGCGTTAATTGATTAAGAAACTCATCAAAGATAAAACCTCAACACAATAAGTAATCAATAACTCTTGATAACTATCGGTATATCGTTTACTCAAAACACCATTGATATTGTGATTGCTATCTGCCGACTTCAGAAAAGGCCAAAGACTTGTAAGGGCACTCAGTAATTAACCAACTAATCACTTCGATATTTTTGCACTTCTCATCCTTGGACAAAGGGCCAAAATAACAAAGGCGAAATAGCAAAGGACAAAATAAAGCTATAATCAAGAAGCTTAATAATTGCAATGATTAAAGTTTCTTCTAAAAATTGAAGGAAACAAAACACAATCCTTTAATTAACATAAATTAAATTGGCCCAATTATTCAGTTTGCAATATTTTAATTTTTCATGTAAATCTATATCAATTAATTTTTCTCAATTATGGCGAAGGTGAAAATGTTTTGATTTAATGCGATATTTTTCGCGGTTTTGAGCTCAAATCTATCCTTGAGTTAACTTTCCAAGTGGCTCTAGTGACATTTGAGATGTTTAATCTTGCCAAAGACAAACTTGTTTCAAGACCATTCAAGTGCCATGAAAATTGATTATTTAATGCTTCAACATTGAAAGTTGTCCTCACTCAATGAGTTTCATTGTGCGCATGATTTCATCACCAATCAATAATCCGATTCTGAATCGAATGAGTTGACGAAGGAAAAAAGACAAAAAAAGAATCCAAAAGATTCACTCTTCTCATCCTTCTCATCATTCTCACATCTCGAAATTCCCTGATTCATTTGTCGATAATGAATAGAAAAAATCTTTTCATGAGAAAAAAAAGCAAAGAAACAAATGCTGTTTGACATTTAACGGTAAAAACGCCCTAAAAATGAAAGTAAATCATTTTATGGAAAAATATTTAATGAGTTTAATCGCGTTCAAATGAACCAGTTTTCCAGTGAATTGGGTTTGAATTTACGGGAAACTTGGTGACAATCTATGCATTCGAGTGCTTCTCAAGTGCTCATCGATTATAAGGGCAAACATTTAATTGGAAGTTGATTGTAATCCAACCCTAATCATGATTAGATTTGGATGAAGATATCCAATGATATTGATAGGATATCAATTTGAATGGTTTTCATCTGCTCGCATCCATTCACTTGGTCAATCCAATCAGATCAATTGTTAACAAAAAACTGTTATATTGTGTTTGTTCACGTGCTTTTCCGGGAAAACAATCAATCAGTTTCTAGTTAATTTCTGTTACCTTGATCAGATTTTCATGATAACATGAAAAGTACGGGAATTTCAACACATTGTTGTTCATCCTCAATTTGCCATTGTTAATTAATTGATAAAATTATAAATATCACAATGATAACAATGAAAACAATTAAACTCCCGGTTTGTATACTTATAAGGATATTTTTTGCAGAATCATCTTTCACCAAAACCTGTTATTCAATTATTCATGATAATTTGTTCATTTGTAAAGGTCAGGAAATTTCGTTTGAAGCCATTTTCCCATCAAATGCGCACACCTTATAAGGAATTGAAAGACAACAGTTAAATTGAATGGAAACAATCAAAATCGCAATTTCATCGCTTCATGATTACATTTTGTTTCTGAAATGTTCACAAATTTCCTGGAATTCAGTTATCACTTCTGCAAAACTGTTCAATTAACAAATCAGAGGTTGCATGAAAGATCGAAATTTGTTATTAAACTCAATTTTCGCGATTCTGTTGCGTTTTCAAATGGATTAAAGTTCTTGAAACTTTATATTAAATATCATTTTCTTTTCTTTTTTGCAAAAAGCTTTGGAAGCTTCTGAATCACGAATTTTTGAAGACTTTTTGAGCCTCTAATCGATATTAATGGATTGATTAATTTCAATGATAAGTTTTACATAATTTAAATTGTAAATGGTGTTAACTGTTTAAATGGATTGACCGTGTTTGAAGAAGGCTGACCAAAAATTCATTTTAACTTCACAGATAGGAAAGTGAACGAGTCTGTAAACATTGACTATTCATTTCGATAATCGATCAACCAGTTTCTCATTAACTTGCCATCTCTAGGTCAACATTGAAGGTTTTTGTGAAAAATGATTGTCAAGATTAACTTTGCTGCTTCAGGTAAAAGGTTTTTGTTGTTGCTTTTGCTGTCAGCTCTTGTTGTTCACTGCGTTTAAAATGGTTGGTTAATTATAATTTTCAAAGGCATCTGTAAAGTTGAAACTGGAATGACCATTGAAATGTTTGCACATTTGGTTTGGGTTGAATAGAGGAAAAGTAAAGTGAAAAAAGATATTTTAAGGTCGCTCAACAAAAAAACGGCGATTAGCTTAGGTTAAATACAGAGTAGCTCACATCATCGGTTAGGCTTGGAGAAGCGGGAGATTCTTGAAAAGACCTATTGAAGAGCCGAAAGTCACAATGAAAACCTAAACGAGCCAAGAAGAGCAAAGACTTTCAATAAAAGTGACAATTGAAATGATGACTTGATTTAATTTCATCATTTTTCGTCGCTCGGTTTGTCCGATCATCGCTCAAGTTTAAAGGTAAAAATGTGCGAACTTGAAATGACTCTAAAAATAAGCGACATTGAACGTGATTGATGCCAAGGTGGTTACAAGGACAGGAAGGAATCAATGATTAGTTCCTTGATTAACTTTGTAAACTGAAACTCGACTTTTGATGTAAGATTGGAATGAATTTGCGTTCCTTTGATGATAAACTCAGATCAAAAGTGAACCTTGAGATCAATTGTTTCAAATGCATGCTAATTGTTTGAACATTTGTTTAGACAAAAGGTTAAACTTTTACTTTGATGACTTATCGCCATTTCCATCTCTACCATGACTAGTCATTTGGCATTTGGTGCTTTCATTTGTTTGTGTTTAAATTGACGCAAATCACTTCTCTCTTGACAAAACCAGTAAAGTTACTTTTTTAGTCATTTTTTGTTAATCTACTGACAAGCTTGAAGTTTACAGAAATAATGATTTCTCTCTTGATTGCTCATGATATTAATACTCATGTATAAAGATGATCAATCAGTGCGCATGAAACACATTGCATTTGTATTTGCATATCGCGCGCATCGTTGATTCAAATGAAAGTAAATTGTTAGTCAAAACACAATTTGATCTGAAAAATGAAACAATCATTTGAAATGATGATTGATTGGTAAAACAAAAAGGCATCAATAAGGTTACAAGGTGCAAGCTAGGTTAACCCAAAGAGCAGTCGGTCTCAAGTTAGTTGTGGTTAAAGTGAGCCTTTATTGTTGACCTTTAGCCTGAAGGCGCGATCTGATTGGTTTACTTGTTATTGCTATAACAAGGTAATTTGAAGCCAATTTAAACACTTTTTCATTTAACATTATTGTTTACCAATAACAATTAGTAGATTGTTGGAGCAATAAAGGCAAAGTTGAACAATGAAAGGATTTTGACAACATTAAAGATCAACAGTTGAAGTGAATAATGTCTTCAACCTTAGATGACAATGAAGGTTGATGATGAGCAAGGTGAGACAGATGATGAGGTTATGGCGATGATTATGCATCTAAAGCGATGAGCCAACTAAAGGTGATTTGATTATCTTAGAGTTGATCATTTAACTAGTTTATTGTACTTATTGTCATTGTTTATTGATTGTTGACTCATGTTATTTAAGATTGCCAATTGATGCTAAGAGGTGCGCAAATAGAGGGCAAGATGAGCATCCTGATTAGATTAATACTTGAGTTGCTTTAAAGGTTCATTTATCTGACATTGAATCGAAACTTGAACATTATTGTTAGATAAAGTTAATGGCACCATTAAGATTTGAATTTTTTATCAGTTTTGATGAACAGTTAAGATGAATGGTTAGGAAGGCTGAACAATGTTCAACTGTTTTCAAACATTTGGATTATAGATTAAGCTGAAAGGCAATAATTTATGGTTAAACATTGACGAGGGTTGGATCAATCATAATGTTCAATCAATAAACTTATCAAATAGGAAAACAAGTTTTGTCTTCCTTTCATTTGCATCTAGTTTTCACTTAAAATTTCATGATTATTGAATGTTAATGAAAGTTCATCGTGATAATGATGTTGATGAGATAATTAAATGCCAACTCATCAATTATGGAAACAATTGGTTCAACCGTGTTCATTCAGTTTCCACCGTTTATTGGCTTATATCTTGATCCCAATCTAATGATTATTGAATAAAATGAATTTTTAGTCATCATTTTCACCTGTATTTGGTTTGACAATTGAACAACGTGGAAATCATGATAAAATTCATGATAATCGAGTTTTAACATTTTGTTACTTTCCATTGGAATCAACCTTGTTTAACTTTGAATAATTTTCTATGGTAATTACATTTGTTATGGATTGATTTAAATTGGTTCAATTGAATTCAATCAACTGAAACAATTATCTCTTTTAACCCATTTTTTGATCCATTTTTAATGTTTAGTTCTGATCACCTGATTGTCACACCTTTAAATGTGACAATATCATGACATTAATCACATTTGCTCTGGAATGTTGGATCAATTTCAAGGATCATTCAAGGTTCCAACAATAAGCACGATTAACGTAATAAGCATCAGTTCATGCTTATTGTCCTTCATTTTATATCGACATCTCAATCTAATAATAGCTGAACATTTTTCATCATTTACACCTGCATTTGGTTGAATTTTGAGATTAAAGTATTCACTTTGAATTGTTGATTATTAACCATTAATGTTCTGGAGCTTTTAATCAGATTTTAATCTCTTTTTGATGGTTATAATTGCCATGCAATGAAATAAATGAAGCGAAATTTATGATTCAATAATTTATTATTTATCTTATATATGTTGGTTGATATATAATCTAAGGTTTAAACATGCTTTTTAATACAATAATATCAATAAATACAAAGTCAATCAATTTTTATCGTTTTTTGTACCATTTTCACGATTTGGACTGTTACACAAGGTTTCCTTATAGAAACCTTTGACCCGTTCGCCTTCAGTGTTAGTAATTGATTTACCATTAACATTAACATTTCCATTAACATTGCCATTGATATTACCGTTAAGGTTGAGATTAATACCAAATGAAGCATTATTTGCTTGTTGAAAATGTTGCATTAAAGCTTCGCCCATAAACTTTGTATACTCCAAGTACTTCAAGTGAGGAAATGACGACTCATGATATGGTCCAGGTGAATGTCCTGAGCTTCCAGTAGCAATTGGAACTAGAACTGAAGATGGATTAGCAAAGTGATGGAAGTGTTGGAATGGACCTGAAGGGATTGCATGAAGTCCTCCAGATTTGTTGATATTTCGAGGATTACGAAGGTCAACAGGCATTGATTTTAAAGTGAATCCAGTTTGTGGTGAGTTTTTGTTGAGTGCAGCTTCCTTTTCATCGGCAATCAGAGCCTTCACATTGAAAACACTATCATTAGTTAATTGATCATGATTCCCAATCATTTGTTGATGTAACTTATATTGTTGTTGTAGTTGTTGATGCTGCTGCTTCTGCTGCTGCTGTTGCTGTTGTTGTTGAATCTGCAAGTTTTTATGTTGACTATTTAATGTTTGATTCTTTGATATTTTTACCATCTTTGACGGTCTATTATCAGTTACATTACCAGGTGATGATGAACTTGGTGATTCTCGTTGACGTTTATCACCTTGACCTGATTGTTTTACCTTTTGCTGTTGATTATTCATTAAACGACTTATTGATGTCGATGTTGAAGTTGAGGTAGATGTGGGATAAAAGGATGAAGATACAACTTTTGTTGAAGTTGGGGTTGATGTACATGAAGATGAAGATGAAGTCGATGTTGATATTGTTGATGGTTTTGATGAACTTACAGAAGTTGAAGTCGATGATAATTTAGGTGAAGGTGATGATGATGAAGTAGACGGTGATGGTGAAGGTGCTATAACTAAATGTGGTGATGAAGATGAAGAAGAAGATGAAAGTGATTTTGAAGTTACTGTTGATGCTTGTGATGAACTAACTGAAGGTGCTTTTATTGCATTTGATGACTTTACTACTTTATCATCAACCCTAAGACCATTGCTCTTAACTTCACTGTTAGTTGATTGATTATTATTAGACTTAGAATTGGACACATTTGAATTTCCAGCTAATCAATGAGAAGATAAATAAGTAAGGAAAACGTAAAATAATTTAGAATTTTATTTGAAATTAAATTAAAAGTTTTAAAGATATGTTTCATGTTAATTTACCTGTTATAACGGAGGATGGAACACTTTTAGGTGCGTTCACAGAGGTTTGTGAATTATTGGGTGAAATTGATGTTCCAACTGAATGTGAAGTCTTACAATTTTCATTGACATCTCGTGTTATTTTGTTCACGACATTATTAGAAGCTGCTTTATCAATAGTATTGATTTGAGTGGAAGATGCTTTTGGGCTTGTCGGTGCTATTTGAGGTGAGAGAGTGGAGAGAGAAAGATAAAGAGAAAGAGCAGGAAGGATGAAAGGATGAAAGGGAGCAAAGAGGATGAAGATAAGGCGAGAATAAGAGGAAAAGAAAGAAGAAAAAAAGGAAACAAAAAAAGAGAGAAAAGAAGAGAAAGAAGAACGATAAGTTTTGTTCATTTCTTGTCATTCATTTTAGACTAAAAATATTGTTTTCATGTTTACCTGATGGTGATTTTGATGAATCGTTCTGGTTAGATGAAGTTACTGACAACTGTGAATTCATTTTATCATTGACTTGAGATACTTTCATCTGTTTACGAGGTGCTTCTGATTTATCGGATTTGCAATCAGATTCTTTTCGCTTCTCACTTTCATTGTTCATTTGGCTCAAGTGCTTCGAGATGAAATTGTTTTTAGCGCCATGCGAAGTTGTTGTAATCATTGTTGTTGCAGTTATCGACACTGAAGGTGTTGAAGATACAGTGCTATTTGATGTAACTTTAGGTGTAGACTGAGAACAGCTGATCGGAGTCAATCCAATGTTATCATAACCATTTATGAATCTTTTATCCGTTTCCCTGTTCGTTAATTCAACAGACTTCACAAACATATTTGATTGTTTATTCGTCTTGACTGTTTGAAGGCAAGAATAGTTGAAAAAGAAATTAAAATTTCTGTTTGATTTTCAGCAAGATATAAAAATGTATTCTTACCTGACGATGGTTTTGATTGTTTGTTTAATGTAACTGTAGTTACTTGAGTTGAACAAGGCAACACTGAAGTTGTCGATCGCTTTAAATTGATTTGATTCACCATTGGAGCCAATTTAGTGTTGATCACTTTGGGTTTAATGACACGTTTAGTGTCTGAAGATTTAATGGAACTAGAAACTGAATGCATCGCTTGCTTTTCCCTTTCATTCATCAATTGACTTCTTTCGAGTTGATTCTTGTCAATATTTTGTGACGATAGACTCGGAGAGTTGCGAGTTGGAGCAACAGTTGACGTTGAGGACGAAACTGGATTCATGGGTGAAGTGGCACATGTTATTACTGATGAAGATTGCACTGCAACTGATTTCAAAGTTGTGTTATCATTTTTAACATCATTTTTGGCGTTTCCATTATTAGGTGTATTTGTTGAAGCTGTAGAGGTAGTTGTTGTTGTTGTTTTCATGTGAAAATGTGGAGATGATTGTGTTACAGTAGATGCTGTTCATGAAAGGGAAGAAAGGAAACAAAAGAAATGGAAAGAAGAGAAAAAAAGTTTTGTTAAGTTGAATCTGAATTGTAGTGATAGTGGTTGGAACATGTTTTTAAATTTGAAAAACGAGCATTTCATTATAATAATTACCTGATGTTGATGTTTTTGTAGATGATGATGAAGATGATGTTAATGATGTCGAGGTTGGTGAAGATAATTGATGATTATTCACCGATTTTTTGATTACATTGATTTGACTCTTTGAAGTTGTTGTTGTTTGATTATTTTTGTGAACTGCAAAGTTGTTCAATTTGAAATGTAAAGGAATTGGTTGTTGCTATTTGAAGAAAAGAAGTGGACATAGAAACATGAATAATAATGTTAAAAAAGAAGAGAAGAAAGAAAAGAAAGAAAAGAAAGAAAAGTTTCTCGATGAAAAACATGTGATTGAATGAAACTTACCGTTGAATAAATGTAAACAATATCCAGTAATTGCAGGTCATCATCAAGTATCTTATCATCAAACATTATATCCACTTTGAAACAAGAAGAAAGTTCATATTTTAAACAAATGAACTTCTTTAATGATCCAATTGGGAATCCTGCTGGACACAAAAGGTATCGATGTTCATCACTTGATGATGATGTTGTCGATGTTTTATCTGATCCAATCATCTTTTTACCATTAGAAGACTTTTTACTTTTATCATTAGAGTATTTTGAATACATTAGAAGAACACTAATTTTATCAGTTAATTGGTAATAATCCTTCTGTTCATCATAATAATCACATGGAGAAACATTTGATTTGGAATGAAACTCTTTTCTGAGTTTCAATTCCGATCTAAACAATCCTGGAACAAGTTTGTAGATGAAAGACTGAAGAATGGAATCCATCCGAAGAGTTTCCCATTTACGGGTTTCATTCAACTTCAATCCACACTTTGGGCAATCATGATTATCATTGAAATGTTTGACAATACAGGAACGGCAAAAGGAATCCAAACATTCATTAATAGTTGTAGCATTAATAATGTAACCCAAGCAAAGTGAACATTTGAATTGATTGTTAAAATGACTGAGCTTCAAGTTATTATTTAACTTGATATTTTGAGTTGTAGACGTTGCTGTTGAAGCTGTAGTTGTAGTTGTTGTTGTTGAGGAAGAAGAAGCACATGAAAGAGTAGGAGGAGAAGCAGAAGATGATGATAAAGTTGAATGATTATCACTCTTTGAATGTAAACCATTTGAAGACATGTTTAGTTTGTTGTTGAACAGCTAACACGAAAAGACCAAATGAAGGGAAGAAGAGGGAAAAAGCAAAAAGAGAGACAAAAATGGGGGAAAAAGAGATGCGCAGTCGATGAGCGCACAGTTAACGTGTAATTGTGTGAAGTTGAATAAGCACCATCTAGTGGAGAGCAACAATTAAAATAATAAACATTAATTTACTAATTTAATTTCCAATTGGATTCTATAAAATTTAGAAGACTAATTAATGGCAGAGTAAAGATAAGAAATGAAATTGCTCGAAATGTCTGCAATCGAATGTTTAATTGGAATCAAAATGGCGAATAACAAAATTGAGGAAAGTTTATAGCAAAAGATGGCGTTGATGCGAAGTTGAGGAAAACTAAAAATGTTTTTTTTTGCTGTTGAAGCCAAGGATGAAGGAAGATGGAAGATGGAAGATGGAGGAAAGAAAGAAAGGGAGGAAAGAGAAACAGGAATAGAGTGAGGAACAGACTGGAGAGAGGAATCGATGAAAAGTGACTCTTGTGTGATGTGAAGCCAGTTCATTTGTATGAAAGTCACCAACCACTTATTGAGGCTATTTTGACTTAACGGCCCCTAACAGGGCGGGATCTAACTCGAATCAATGCTCCAGTCCACAATTAATCTGGATTAACTGGCATCATCCAGACAGGGTCCTTTGAGGTTTCCCTTTTGCTTTTACTTCTTCTTCTATACCAAATCGATCAATGTTGACGCATTTATATTGATAAGTCGACCAGTTTAATGTTCATATTACATTTTATTATTCAACGGCCCATTCGAGGCGTGGTTTGTTTACTTGTTAATTTTGTACTTCAATTGGATCAAATTATTCTTGACATTCAATGATTTGTGAAATTAGATGAAGGCCTCACTTTCAAAATTGTGTCATTCGTTGACAATGCAAATGACAAGTTTAAGTTGCTCATTGAATTATGTAAATTGGCCATTTACATAATTATGGTTAATCTCAATGGTTAGTTCAATTACATTGCCATTTATACTGAAGAATTGAAATTCATAATAAAAGAGAAACTGAAAATTATTTTGTCAGATTGGAAGAGATTCTTGTTGCAATGAAATCATCGTTTAAAATGGCCGTTGAAAGGATGACTGGAGTTGAGGAATGTTTAATTTCACTCGATCTTCAGTAACAGTTGGTTGTCGATTTGCTCAGAATTCATTTCATTCTTTCCTTTCCTTTCCATTTCCTTGACTTGCTTTAAAGGCAATTCAGTCAATTCAAATCCTATGTTAAACAGCTATCAAACAGATATAAGAGTATGTTTCACTTGTTAAAATCAATAATCAATCATAATCAACTTCTGGTCAAATGTCAACCTTTTAAGCAATGGTTTAGTTTCATTTTGTCACGGCCTTCTTTATTGGTGTGTATCTTTTCAATATCAATTGGCTGAAATATTAATGTTTAATGAATCAGTCAGGTGAGTTGAGTATATTTGGTTAGTTAATCATCAAGTTTTGACTCAACACAATCAATATTACCCAATTAATTTCATTAGGAAACTCGATAATGCCGTTTTTCATTTAAGTTTGATACCTTTAACTCGTTCAATAGTCTATCTTATAATGTTAATCAACTTGTATCCAATGGCAATTGAGACTTGAAGATCAAATTAATTCAATCATTTGATATCTTTCAATGTTAGAGCGATCTACTTACAGTTAACCTTGCATAGTTAACTTCACCTGAGACGGAACTAAACACTGTCAAGTTACTCTCTGAGTCTTGTTTAATCAGGACTAAAGGTTTGGCTTACTTCGAATTCGCTTGAATTGGACTGAGTGTAGACTTTAGTGCAAGTTCATTTCAACACTCATTTTGCCAATCCATTTTCAGTTCTAGTTCGAATCGCTACTCGAACTTCAGGACATCATCTGGCTCTTATAACGAGTCGACATTTCCTCACATTAACTATTTAGAGCATTAAAAGCTTTTAAAGCTCACAAGCTAGCTACGATGCAGCATCTTCACCAAGCAAATAATGCTTCATTTGGTATTAATCTTAACCTTAATGGCAATTCTAATAGCAATTATTAATATTGAAGGTGAATATGTCAGAGGTTTTATAAGGAAACCTTGTGTAATAATGAAAATGGTTAAAATTCATAATCTATTACCGTAATATTAATCTTTGTATTTAGTAACACTAGACGCTTTGCGATCAGCCATGACTGATCACAAACTTGTTTCCACAGACAATTTGTGAGTAAAATAACTCTAATTCATATTTGTCTCAAAATCTGATTCTATGACTGAACGAATACAATCGAAGTTTGAGCTTTGAAAGCGATTTTAGTAAAAAATTATTTCTATTATTATATATGTACTGCTAATCCAATAATAAACCGGAAGCAAAAAAGTGTTTAGCCAAACACAATACAACAAAATACCAATTCTGCATTTCCTCAGCCCTGTTTAAACCTTCTGGTTCATTTGCAACTATTTTCCGTAGTTGTAGCTCAATCATGGCTTTCATGCGATGTAAAAATTTTCTTTAGAATCTGCTTAATTTGGGCCCAATTTTCCCGTAAAAAACGTTTTCACTTTATATTATAAGTATAGAATAGATTAGAAGCCGAAATTAATTTGTAAATTAAACAAGACTGAGAGTAACAGTGTTTTCCGTCTCAGGTCAAGTTAACTATACAAGTGTAGCTATCAATGGATCAATTAATATATTGGAAACTAACCTTTTAAATTTATCTATCGTCATGCACTGATGCAACTTCAACTCAAGTCTGACAATAAATCAATAAATTTAGTCAAGTTTTGAAGCTAATTTTGGTTGCATTCTGTCATTGAGGAACCGTTAATAAAACTATAGTTAAGCGTCTGTGGCGCTGTTTGGCGCTCCATCGTTTAACTATTTCTTTGCCTAAGGATTTTCAAAAGTATAGGGACTTAATTTTCAATTTGAGGATAAAATTAGTTGAGTTACAGGTTCTGATAGAGGAAAAAATGTGACCTGATTTTG